ATTAATCAGGTTAAATAAATATTTTTGCAAATATTTATTTTTCATTGTTTAGTGACACAGTTCTTTTTTCTCATATTTATTTCTGAAATTCAGGTCAAGGTTCCGCGACATGCTCTGAAAGCCCAAAGGCGATATAAGGATGACAGCTCACGGCATTTTTTTGCTTTTGTTTGCTACATGGATAATTTAAATTCAGCTTTTTAATTTATTTGAAAGAGACATTCAGACATTGTATTATTTTTTCAAGAATTCAAAATGTGTTCATTAGATAAAATTTAATTTTCTCTGTAGCACTTTGTGGATTTCATAAGCAACACACTTTAGTTGTTTATACAAAGTGTAAAGGTAAGAAAAAGCAATATATACAGAGTTATCTTCATTTTAGATAAGATGATAGCCATTCTTCAAAAGGGTAGTCAAAGCACTAATAAGTGTAATGTATGGCTGGGGTGAACCCTGAAGCATGAAAGGGAAGTTGTTGTTCTTTTTTTTTTTTATATTTTTTCTTTCTATTTAATAAATGCGTTCATAAATAAATTCATTTTAGATGTCAAAAAGTATTTGCGGCTCCCAGTGTTTTCTTTTCCGTGGAAACCGGATCAAATGGCTCTTTCGGTGTTAAAGGTTGCCGACCCCTGATCTAGGCAAATTAATGTGAAAGTCACTTGGGCTTAGGGCAAGTGGTAAAAATTCTTAAGTCAACCCCTGTGTATGCTGCCTGCTGGAAGTTTCTTCCTGCTCAAAGGGAGTTTTTCCTCTCCACCGTCGCTACAAGCATGCTTAGTGTGAGGGATTGCTGAAGAGTCAATGAGTCGAAGCAATCAAATGGTTTTTCTTAGATGGAAAACTTTGAATCAATCTGACTGGATGATCCGGTGACATATGTTGTGAATTGGTGCTATAGAAATAAATAATAATGGAATAAATCAAACTTTCTTTACATTATTTCAGTCTTTATGATTTTCTTTTTACTTGCCACACTGTTCATTTTACCACCTCATGCATTAGACCTTGATGGAGTCTCATCTGTTGACGTTTTCCTGTGTCTGCCTGCTTGTATAAAGTGCTTGTATTTTGCAAAAGGACCAACATCAAATGGAGAAATAAGGTGGAGAAAACCTCACTGGACAAAGGAGCAGGGGAGTTTTGAAAGACAAATTGGTTGTGTGATTTTGTTATGTCAATAATTTTTTTAATTCCTCTCTACTTTGTTGTTTTTACATTTTACCACTTTTCTTTGATGATTATTCAATATTTTTCCTATTATTCATTTATACAAAACAAATTACTGAAACTAAATAATTTCCACTTATGGAGATGATAAAGTTGAGCTTATCTCCACATTAATAACTATATTATTGTTATAGATGTTAATGATGAGCTGGTTAGGTGGTGAATGAGCTAACCAGCTCTCTGACACTCTTAGGCTCACTAAACTCCTCCTCATTTCACTAGTCATCTGCTCACTTCAGAAGCTCTCTCAATGTCTAGGGTGCTTTATGAAAAACATTTATCTTACCGAGGTAAGATTCTGAGAAAACTTCAGAAAATATATTTTCCTAAAATGATGATACTTCTAGCCTTGGATTCTCTGTGAATATTAGTGCAGATCTTTTTTATTCTGTGTAGATGGTCACCAGCGTGGAACAGAAGGCGGACGCGGCTACCACTTTTCTTTTTTTAAATTGGGTATTATACCATCCTATTCTGGATTTAATAACTGGCACTTTACAGTTCCTCTCTGTTTTGTAATTTCATTAAAAGCATTCGAGCGGTGCGGTCTTTTATTAAGAAGCCGCCTTACCGACTCAGATGTCGGCTCGTCCTTGACCCCATCCGGCACACTGACATGACCATAAAAAATCCTCATTGCAGTTTCCTTTCAAAGTCTGAAAGATCATCATAATTTAAAATTATTTTGTGTCCAATCCCAAAACTGAAGTGAATTATTGGGCTAGGCGGGAAGCAGTTCAACAGGAGCAGGCTGCTAACAGGAACATAAAGGTGCAAAGGTCCAATGTCCTCTGAGACATACTCTGAATATTTCTAGTAGGACGCACAAAAGGACAGAAAAAAAACCCAGAGATGTTTAATTGTTGTTATCATCTGCAATCAATGAACAGGCAGGAGAAATTGATCAGATGTTATTTGCAAAGTAAAAGAGCAGAAGCATCTGCTGAAGAGATGAATGTTTGGTATTTGTGCTGCATGCTGACGCCTGTGTGAGCGAGAGGGATAATGTTTGTCTGCTCATGCATATAGAGTGAAGACTAATTTGAGTTTTAATGCCATCCATACATCACAATGAAGTGCTTTTCACACGGCGTGCAAATTTTTCAGAGCACAAGCACGCTCTGGGCCCACGGCTTCACTTTATCATACTAATATCCACAACTGGAACCAGGAGCAGCAACCCTTCAGAAGGGTTTTATTTGGATGTGAAATTCAAATCGCAAAAATATAAAATCAAAAAGAAAATCCAGGTCACAGAAGTGCAAAGGGATCACTCTAGCCTTTTTTTTGTCATTTTATGAATTTACAACAGATCCATGTCCAGGAGCCAACATGGAGCCCTGCTCTGTGGCCTCATGCTGAGCAGCGGTGTTAAGAACCCAGCCAACATGAAAGAAGACAAAAAATAAATCTAGATTTACTCAACAAGCAAAGGCAAGCAATAGTTTACGACAGATAAAAACTGTCTCTGACAGCGACTGAAAAATAAAACTTTTCTGCAATTTCATCTTGACCTGCAGAATACAGCTCGAATGTTCGCAGGCGTCTTCTACTTGTTCTGATTACAGTTAAATTCATGGAAATCATATTTACCGGTAAATGTCAAATCATTCTGGCTTAAACATGTATATGAATGTACTCTTTATCAGACATATTGTCCCAAAAGTTTCTATTCTAAAAAAAAAAACACTGTCCCACCACCTGCCACCTTGGTGGAGGGGTTTGAGTGTCCCAATGACCTTAGGAGCTATGCTGTCTGGGGGGGTTTATTCCCCCTAGTAGGGTCACCCAAGGCAGACAGGTCCTAAGTGAGGGACCAGACAAAGAGCAGCCTAAAGACCTCTTATGATGAATAAAAAAATGGACCTAGTGTTCCCACGCCCGGACGCAGGTCACCGGGGCCCCACTCTGGAGCCAGGCCTGGGGGTGGGGCACGCTACTTTAGTGCTACTTGGGCCCCGTCCACACAAAGTCAAAACGAACACGAAATGCTAATATTTTCCAGAACGTTTGTCGTAAAGACGGAGACGTAAAATAAATGTGATCGACCACACGAATGCATGAAAAAGCTGCAAAATGTATGCCAGGCCTGTAAGTGGCGCTGTGGTGCCAAAGCAAAAATAGGCGACGAAATGTTGGGCATGCGCACTAATATTTATACATGGTTGCCCTGCGTGTCCATTTTCGTGGTTCAGTCAAATTCAGGTGCTGAACTATGTGGTCGATATTGCTCTGTTCTTCCTGGAGATATTCCAGAAGAAGAAGATTCTGTTGTAAGCCCGACAGCAGGGTGAGTAGCATGAGCAGCAACCATACAACACAGTACGGCGCCATTGTTGTTGTGATACTGTGTCGCGCATGCGTGTTTAGAGGCGACGCTATGACGCATGGTGTAAGAAAAAAAATGCGGTTAGAGCTTAAAGATGGAAACGCGAAAACGGCATTTTAAAATCTTCCCACTCTGAAGGCTTAATAAAAAAAAGATCGTTTACAGACCCCCGAAACGCCGGCTTCGTATGGATGAGAGGCTGGTTTGGTGAAAAATGTGTGCGTTTAGGCCAGGGTTTGACTTCGTGTGGACGGGGCCTTGGTCCCAATGGAATTTCCCATTGGGAACCTACGAGCACTAAGTTGCTAACTGGTTAGCAAGATGCTTCAGAAAAACCGCCCACAACCAAACTTGCTTGCGAACCTTCCGCCAAAACAATCCCGCCACCTTGATAAACAACCAATCAAATTCACTTTATTCACTCGTGTGAAGTCGGGCACCACTCGGGAGAATTCAGAAATGCAACGGTTGGAACAGCCGCTTCCCTACGACTTTAAACCAGGAAAAAAGAAGCGAAACAGATTGATCGGAAAATGTCTGACTAGTAGTCAATGGTTGCAAGTCATATCGGCTAATCAGACTTTTTCGTAAGCTGTACTAGTAAAAACATTGCTGAGCCCCTAAAGAAATACGGAAGAGAAAAAAAACTTTCACATGTGCACCACATAGAATAGAATAGAAAATCCTTTTATTGTCCCAGAATGGGGAAATTCTAGTAACATACTCCCTCATATTAGTCGGATCTCTTCTTTTTCTTCTTTTTGTCACCTTTAATCCATTTTCCAGACATTTTGTAAACATCCATCTATATCCGTTCTGTTCATCAGTCATTTGCAGTTGTATGTGAATGAAAGTCACAACATAATCAAGCTTTTTGTCTCCTTTGTGCCACAGGACTTCATGATATGTTTTAAGTGACGTTCAGACACAGCAAAATGGTGACGTATGGCAAGCAATCCAGCAATGTCTTTGTATGGTAGCCCAAACTGAAAATATAGCATAATTAGTTCAAATGCATCTATTTTAATGAAGACTGTCCAAAATACTCATGTGAACAAGCGAGAAAGTATCTGGTGCACACAAGAACGTTTTTCTCTCTCTCTCTCTCTCTCTCTCTCTCTCTCTCTCTCTCTTCAGTGTCCCTTTCAGGGCTCAGTAAAAAATAACAAATCTAAACTTTTTTGTGTGTCGTTGTCCCACAGCTAGCTGATCAGACTTAGACTAAGACAGACTTTATTGTCTTTTGTATACACAGAATGTATACAAAATGTAATTTCGTTTTTGTGTACTCAAATTTCATTTTCTCAAGACATTTTTATTTCTTAAAGTGCAGCAGTGATCAATTTAAACATGGTGATCAATTGTAAATGTCATGATCGGTTTAATGGACTAAACCCACATGCAGAACACTAACGGAGACAGAGGAAAGTTTAACAATGTTTATTAATGAATACACAAAAGATTCAAGATCTGGTTCTGGTACAGGTCCGGGACGGGTTTCAATATAATCTGGAGAGATGAGAGTTTGATTAGCCAGGCAGGTGATGGTTTGAAGAGTGAGTAGAATCTTGATTATACCTTGAGGAGGTGTTAACAGATCCGTGAGAGGAGGAACCGGTTGGATCCAGAGTCTGTGGAGGTAGCAGAGAGCTCAGCAGCAACAGCATCTAGCTTCGAGCTAGAGAGTTTCAGATCTGGGTTCTTGTTTCCTAGCTCTTTTCCAAGAGCTGATGGAGGAATCCAGACTGGGATCTTCAGGTTTGGCTTACGTGGGCAGGCAGGCAGATTTCCAGGTTATGCTCATCCAGTGCTTCGGACTTCAGTCGGGTTTCTGTGAGCAAAGAAGACAAAGGCAAGTTAGAAGGCTAGTTTCTCTCAAGAGGCAACTAGTATTTTCTAGGATTTTCAGAGGCTCAGGTTCGCTGACCAAACTAGGTCAACACTCCGGCGTCGAAGGAAGGTCTGACTGCTGCTTATGTAGGGAGGTCTTCTGATGAGCTGATGAACCCCAGGTGTGCTGAGGACTCCAGCTCAGGAAGCCCACAGCGCTCTCTGCTGGAGACAGGTGGCAGATCTGCAGATCCCAACAGTAAACCTAGGACTGAGATATGCTTTACAAGTTTTTCCAACATTAAGCTTTTTTTTTCATTTTATTCAACATTCAGCAGTCTGAGCAATGGGAAAAAACTATTTTGGAATCTGCTGGACCTTCATCGGATGGGCAGCAGGGAGAACAGTCCATGGTGGGGGGGTGAGGGGTCATTGATGATGTCACAGGCTCGGGACACGCAGCGCTGGGATGAAATGTCTTTAATGGAGGGAAGAGGAGCCCCCATGATCCTCTCTGCTGTTCTCACCTTCTTCCAGTCTGAGGCGCTGCAGCCTCCACACCACACAGTGAGACAGCTGCTCAGAACGCTCTCTATGGTGCTTCTGGAGAAGGTGGGGAGGATGGGGGGGCAGGTGGGCTCTCCTCATCCTCCACAGGAAGTCCAAGCGCTTCTGGGCCCTTTTGACCAGTGAGGTGCTGTTTACAGTCCAGCCAATAGCAGAGGGGTGTATTGAATCCCAGCTGTTCCAGTTTGCCCATCAGATGCTGTGGGATGATGGTGTTGAAACATCTATTGCAGAATTGTTGAGAGCTGTCCTTGGCCACTGCCGCAAATTGCCGCCAGTCTCTACCTGATTACCCAACAGCTTTGCTTTTACAAGCAGACCAGTATAATGTTCTGCTCCATACTTATATCAAGCAAAATATTAAACTTAATTGAACGTTTTTGGGGAGTAAAATCATCTAGAACAGAGACGGACAGGGAGGTAAGAGAGAAAGAGGGGATAAGAACCAGGCCAGAAGACCCCACCTGTTCAGCCAGGCCAACAATTCCCTCTAACGACCCCCCTTTCAGAGACATAGACAGGTATGGGACATTACAGGCTAACAAAGAAGCCAAATGACCCCCATTCCAAAGGGTTGGCCCCGTTTGTCCATTTCTATTTGCATGTTTTCTAAACAAAAACAAGGCTCTGTTGGGCTAATGTATAAAACCTGGAACTCAACGCTTTTTATGGCGTTTTGAATTGAAAAAGCTTCCTGGATGGAAGAGAAACGTCTTAAAACTTGGAAACAAAGTATAGTGTATTGTTTTTTTTTTACTTTTTTTGGAATGGCACGTAGTATCGACATAAGTGTGGGGGTGATTGGGTTGCCTTTACAACTTTGGCAAAGAAACTGTTCTCGAGTGTATTTATGTTTGATTTAATGTCCATATTGTTTTCCTGACAGAAGTGGGACAAACGGTGCATTGGTCAGGTGGCTTGGATCCTTGGCAATACTTCTGGCCCTTTTTCTGCTCTCACGCTTCAGTCCAAATCCAGAAACCAGCATCCCACTACCCCTTTACTGCCCCCTCCTGCATTAAGCCCTGCTTCTCCTGTGGTGTTAGTTTAACCGTCAATTTTTCCTTATAGAAAATTAGGTAGGAACAGGAAGCTTTTTTGAACACAGGTTAAGATAGAATACATTAGATAGTATGGATGCATGGAAATATATACAAACAAGTAAAAAAAAATAAAGCAGATCTGATTGGAGCAGCATTCATTATTCATGAGGATAACTGACAATTTATCAGTATACACATATGAGATGGTAGCCAAACTACAACCAAGATGAATAATTCATTCAGAGTCCACTTCATCATTAATCCGTATTAAAAAATGTGTCCAGAAAGCAGACATCTTTATGGAAATAAAACAAAACACAGTTTAGAATTAAAATGATGGTAATAAATGCTATTTTCACATGATATCAGCTCATATTTGAATGGGAGAAACGAAGATAGGAAACAACAATAGAAACGTCAGTCGAAATGATTATTAGCTACGTTCAGTGGAATAGAAGGGAAATTCAAATTCATTTCAAATTCAAAATACATTATTAATCCCAAAGGGATTAAATTGTTGCAGTAAATCATATGTTTGTTTTTTTTTCATTGAGCTGTTGGAGGTGTTGATAGCTGTAGGCAGGAAGGATCTTCTGTATTGGTCTAAATAACATCATAAAGTAAGAAAAAGAGAAAGGAAAACAAAGGAATATGAGAGGCTATTTATTATAGAATTTATAGAACAAAAAACAAGTGAGTGCTTCAGTGTTTCAATAAGGAAGGAAACAGTCACGTCTAAGATTTGGGCACAACGAGGAAATGATTCAAGAATCCAAACTTCTAACAAATTTGGGCTCGTAAAGGAAACAAAAGAAGAAAAATCAATTAGCCAAACCTGACACAGGAACAGACCTCTCAAACTGACACAAGGGGAACATATGTACTGGTTGATCAGACCATTTTGACACAAAAGGAAACATAAAATCATTTTACCTAAACAAAACTACAACAAAAGGCCAAACTAATCAGCACAATACTAAATCGGCAACCTATGAGGAAGAGGACTTAAATAATTAAACTTCCCAAATTTAATTACAGAAAACAAAGCCAAAAAGAAAAACCTAAACCGTTCCTGCTCCCCTTCTACAAGTTAGTGCAGGAGTCCAATTAGGCCTCGAAGGCTGTGTTCGAATTCATGGGCGGCATCCTCCGAAGGCCGATTACGTCATATCGCAGCGCCGAGGTCTGGTTGGATTCCAAGACTTCTCATTATGAGGCCTACAAATGCGTCCTTCTTTTTGCCCGATTTTGAAGGACGGCTCTGATGTATCCTATCTATCCTTGGATATCCCAGGATTCATTGTGAGACCAAGCAAGCCGGCTGCTCCATGATCAGAGGAAAAAGGGAAATGGCGCCGAACAGTGGTGAATCTTGGAAGTTCAGTTTAATAAATCCAAGTATGCAAATAGTTCTGTCTGAAATGAACGAAAATAGTTGTTTTAATGGTTATTGAGTCAGATATGTGCCGGTAATGTTTGATTTATCTAAAGGTTTTTATCTGTTACTGTGTAAATGGGTTTGGCTGGAATTTAAGGACAGATTCTAATAAATCTGCAGTGTGGGGGGGGGACTATAAATCTGATAGAATTTTTTATTTTTTTATTGCTATTTTGCACAATTTGCTTAACTAAGTATTTTTTGTTGTTGAATAAGAGATTTTGCAGATATATTTTTTATACATATTTTGTTTAGATTTACGTGTATCATTCTACCCCTTTTATAGAATAGAATAGAATAGAATGGAATAGAATAGAATAGAAAATAATTGAATAGAATAAAAAATATCTTTATTGTCCCACAATGGAGAAATTCTGGTGTCTATAGCAGCAAAAAGATTATAGAAAAAATTGTCACACAAATGTGGACCTTAGAAAAATTTATAAGAATTACATAATAGTGAAGAGTTAATAAAATATTGTAAATTGTTTTAACAATATAAAACTGTGCACCTGGAGAACAAATAACCAATATGCAGCTATGGACATTTTTACAATAACGGATATTTAAAAATAGCAGCAACATCAGAGATGTGCAGAATGACAGCAGCAGGTTATTTAACTGACTAAGGTTTCTATCATTACATTTGATTTGATTTATTCCTGCTCCTGGTGGTTGGAACCTTTATTCCACTGTTGTTGGTCTCCATCTCCATCTCCCGATACGCTCTCGCCTGTGTCCGACCTTTCAGACATTTCAACATCTTTTTCTGAATCCCACATTGTAGCATGGCATAGACAATTCACGTTAGCAGTTTGAAGAACACCTGCTTGCTTCTGATGATTTCCTTTAGCTAACCAATGAGTGTTTGCGTTCTATGACTCATCCAATCACACTAGTTTTCACTAGATGTGGGTGGAGCCAATGATCTGCATTGGATGGAGCACATGACGGGAAATAAATATTTAGAAACATTAAACCAAAGCCAAGAGTAACGAGTAACATTTGTTTAAAAATGTAAGGAATAGAAAGTACAGATACTTGTTTGAAAATGTAATGAGTAGAAGTCAGAAGTAGGAAGAAAAATAAGTAATGAAGTAAAGTATAGATACCTAAAAAGTGTACTTAAGTACAGTAACGAAGTATTAGTACTTGGTTAATTGACACCTCTGGTGGAGACACCACAGACAGCGCTCAACAAGGCAAAGCTATACGGATGAACAAGATGGAGAGGATGAGAGTTCAGTGCAGCTTGGAACAAAAGGATCAGCAGGGGAGTCATAGAAGGAGTGCCTCTAAAAGTTTCTGACAAAGAGATTCTAGAAAATATATGTCATGCAAAAGTAAAAGAAGTAAAACATTAAAAAAAATGGAGAAAGATGTGACAGCTTATCAGTACTGATCAAATTTGAAGAAGAGCATTTACCCAGTAAGGTTTTCATTGGTTATATGAGCTACAATGTCATAATATATAATCCTCCGCGTCTGAGATGCTTCAAACACCAAAAATTCAGACGAATAGCAGCTGTAAGGGCAAACAACGATGTGAAAGGTGTGCTGGAGAGCACGAATATGGAAAATGTGGGAAGGAAGTTAAAATGAAATGCTGTAACTGTGGTGGAGAACGTACTGCTTCTTATGGTGGGTGTGAAGTAAGCAAAAGATCTGAAGAGATTAGAAAAGTGAAGTTAGAGCTCAGAATAACTGCTGCTGTAGCTGCAAAAAGAATCCCATCCCAGTCAGAAAACCCAAACCAACAGTGGAGTAAAAGACCATTTCAAAACCCTTGGAGGGGTGCCCTAACATTGAAGAAGATTCATTGATTGTAAAAAAGAAAGATTTTATTCTTATCATGGTTGAAGTGATCAATTGTAGTGCTCAGACTACAAGGAAAACCGAAGTAAATCAAAATAAAAGTGAAAGCTGCAAAAAAGTATCTTGAAGTTAGAGATTTAAACTGGGAAACTGGTTGAAGGCATGATGGGAAAACCAGTAGGACCATCAGAAGCTGGCAGAGGGACAATAACTTCAAGATAAATTAGAAATTATGAGGGCAAATGAGACTGTTTATTATGTTGGGTTAAGTTAAATAGTTCGAAAAATATTGTTATTATATACGTACATACATATATATATATATATATATATATATATATATATATATATATATATATATATATATATATATATATATATACATATATATATATAT